CAGATGCTGGAGAGAAGCTGATGAAGCAGATCTCTGCTTCATCAACTTCTTCAGGGGGGTCCTAGCTGACATTAGGGGTCTTGTAGACCCCTGATGTCTCCATAAAGAGGACCTGTCACCTCTTTTGCTATCACATAGAGGGGTTTCTCAGCCCCCTCTGTGATAGCAATAAAGTTAAGTGAACCAAAAAAAAAATAGGAAAAAAATTTAAAAGTTTCCCCCCAAATTTTTTAAAAGTTACACATAAAAAAGAATTTAAAAAACACGCATGTAAACATGCGTCAGGTGCGCATACCTGCGAAAACGACGATTGCGCCCATTACGTCGCACATGTTACATATCGCTGAATGTCGGAATGAGAGCAATAAGTCTAGGCCCATCAATCACTGATAATACTAAACTGATGAGCTGTAAAAGCTTTTGAAGCGTCGCCTATGGCCAATTTGGGGTATGCTAGTTTTTTGCGATTTCGCGAGTGCGCGCAATATTTAAGCTTGACATGTTTGGTGTCTATTTACCCCGTCTTTTATATTTTACCAAAAAAGTGGGTAATATTAGTTGTTTTATAACATAATGTAAAAAAAAAACGTTTTTTCCCCCAGAATTTTCAGTAATTTCTCCTGAATATAGTAAAAAATAAAACACGTAGTGGTGATTAAATACCACCAAAAGAAAGCTCCATCTCTCCCCAAAAAATTGTATAAATATCATTTCAGTACAGCGTTGCATGACGGAATAAATGTCAGTCAAAGTATCGCAGCGCTGAATACTGAAAAATGGCCTGGCCAGGAAAGGAGTGTAAACACCTGGTCTTCAAGCGGTTAAAGTGTTGCATGTATTTTTAACCCTCCCCTTCCCCCAAAAAAGTAGCCTTATACTCTGACAGCTTTACAAATATGCATATACACTATATTGCCAAGCATTGGGACACCCCTCCAAATCATTGGATTCAGGTGTTCCAATCACCTCCATGGCCACAGGTGTATAAAATCAAGCACCTAGGCATGCAGACTGCTTCTACAAACATTTGTGAAAGAATGGGTCGCTCTCAGGAGCTCAGTGAATTCAAGCGTGGTACCGTGATAGGTTGTCACCTGTGCAATAAGTCCATCCGTGACATTTCCTTGCTACTAAATACTCCACGGTCAACTGTTAGTGGTATTATAACAAAGTCGAAGCAACTGGGAACAACAGCAACTCAGCCACGAAGTGGTAGGCCACATAAAATGACAGAGCGGGGTCAGCGCATGCTGAATCGTGCAGTGCGCAAAATCTGGTGAAATCCCGCGATTGTACGAGAATCGAGCAGTGTGAACTAAGACGTGCGACCGTTTCTACTGTACGGTCGCACGTCTTTTGTCGAGCCAACATGTTCGAAAACGATTCTTGGCGGGCTTCTAGCCTGCTCGCCCGATAGCTGCGGAACGGGCCGATGTGCGCATCCGCACACTGCCCGTTCTGCATTGCCGTCATGGGAAGCCCGCCCCTAAGCGGGGCGGGCTTTCGATGATCACAAGTACGATCTGCCCGTCCAAGGTGGGCAGATAGTACGGGCTTTCAAGAAGCATAAGTCTTGCGATGGTGGTAAGGTGTATGGGCACCTTAAAGGCATCAGCATACCAAGACATTTTGGACAATTTCATGCTCCCAACTTTGTGGGAACAGTTTGGGGATGGCCCCTTCCTGTTCCAACATGACTGCACCAGTGTAAAAAGCAAGGTCCATAAAGACATGGATAAGCGAGTTTGGGGAGGAGGAACTTGACTGGCCTGCACAGAGTCCTGACCTGAACCCGATAGAACACCTTTGGGATGAATTAGAGTGGAGACTGCGAGCCAGGCCTTCTCGTCCAACATCAGTACCTGACCTCACAAATGCGCTTCTGGAAGAATGGTCAAACATTCCCATAGACACACTTCTTAAGCCCCGTTCACATTGAGCGATTTATCGCGCAGCAAATTACCGCGCGATATCGCGCTCCAATGCATTTCAATGGGGCAAAGGGTCCTGCTGTCGCAGGTCGTGTGTCGCTACAGCAGAACCCTTTTTGGAGCGGATTTAGCCGCGATTCAAGCTTGCTCAATGCAAGCTTGAACGCGATATTGCGCGATTTGCATATCGCGCAGTGGGAACAGGGCCTAAACCTTGTGGACGCCTTCCCAGAAGAGTTGAAGCTGTTATAGCTGCAAAGGGTGGGCCAACTCAATATTGAACCCTACAAACTAAGACTGGGATGCCATTAACCACTTGCTGACCGGGGTGTTTACACCCCCTTCCTGTCCAGGCCATTTTTCAGTATTCAGCGCTGCGGTACTTTGACTGACATTTATTCCGTCATGCAACTCTGTACTGAAATGAATTTTATACCATTTTTTGGGGACAGATAGAGCTTTATTTTGGTGGTATTTAATCACCACTGCGGGTTTTATTTTTTTACTATATAATGAAAAAGTACCTAAAATTTTGCCAAAAAACTGTTCTCCCTACATTATGTTATAAAACAATTATTATTACCCAAATGTTTGGCAACATATAAAAGGCGTGGTCACGTCGGGTAAATAGACACCAAACATGTCAAGCTTTAAAATTGCGTGCGCCCACGAACTCGCAAAAACTACGATACCCAAAATTGGCCATAGGCTACGAGTTAAAAAGCTTTTGCCGCTCATCAGTTTAGTATTATCAGTGATTGATGGGCCTAAAATTATTGTTCTCACTGCGACTTTTGCGGCGATATGTTAAATGTGCGGCGTAATGGATCTAATTGTCGTTTCCGCACATAGGCCCAATCGACACATGTTTGCATGTATATGAGGGGGGCGGGGGACTTAAAAAATATTTTTTTTCTTTTTTACCTTTTATATGTGACTTTTTAAATATTTTTTTTAAATATTTTTTTTACTAATTCTTTTAAACCTTTTTTTTTCACTTAGCTTTATTGCTATCACATAGGGGACTAACAAGCCCCCTGTGTGATAGCCATTTTTCAGTATTCAGCGCTGCAGTACTTTGACTGACATTTTTTCCGCCATGCAACGCTGTACTGAAATACATTTTATACCATTTTTTCGATGACACACAGCTTTCTTTTGGTGGTATTTAATCACCACTACGGGTTTTTTTTTTTTTTTTTTTACTGTATAATGAAAAAAGTACTGAAAATCTTGAAAAAAAACCTGTTCTCCCTACGTTATGTTATAAAACATTTATTATTACCTAGTTTTTGGTAAAATATAAAAGACGGGGTTACGTCAGGTAAATAGACACCAAACATGTCAAGCTGAATATTGCGCGCACCCGTTAAATCGCAAAAAACTACCATACTAAAAATTGACCATAGCCGACGCTTTAAAAGCTTTTACCGCTCATCGGTTTAGTGTTATCAGTGATTGATGACCCTAGAATTATTGCTCTCATTTTTTTTTATTGCTTTGATATGTGATTTTTATTTTTTTTTTGTAACTCACATTTTTCTAAACCTTTTTTTTTTTTTCACTGAACATTATTGCTATCACATAGGGAGCAAACAAGCTCCCTATGTGATAGCTAATTTGCAGTGACAGGTCCTCTTTATGGAGACATCAGGGGTCTTTAAGACCCCTAATGTCACCTAGGGACCCCCAGAGAAGCTGATGAAGCAGAGATCTGACACTGAGTGACAGAGAGAGAGTGACAGTTAATGCAGGCAGTGATGTAATATACATCACTGCCTGCATTCAGAAGAGGAGATCAAACGGAGCTCGTGTACTGAGCTCCGTTTGATCTCCGGCCGCAGAGCTGCTGTGCTGGTCCCGGGCTCACACCGGGCATAGCGGAGCTCGGGATCAGCAGCAGCAACAGAGGGGAGGGCCGCACACATATTACAATCGATCGGGTGTAAATCGGGCATCGCTGGCTGTTTACATTGAAAGCTGATTTCCCACTCGTGCTAGCCGCCTAACGGTGGGCACGAGCGGGGCGGGACGCTTAAAAACGCCCACCCGCATTCAAGAAGCCGCTGCCCGGCCGTTTAATTACAACGGCCGGACATCAGGTGGTTAAAAGGAGAACTATGAGGCGAGTGCTTTTCACTCACCTCATAGTTCTAGCCGACCTGTGACAATGAGACTGTCACAGGTCGGCTCAGTAGATCGGGAAGTGACCGAACACATACGGGTGTTCGCTAACTTCACGTTCCTGTGACGGCTCTCTGCCGTGAGCTGTAGCTCGCGATATACTGAGCTTAGGGTGACGGGAGGACGCTATTTTGTGTCCTCCCGTTACCCTAAGGAGAACTATGGGGAAAAGCCCTAACCCTATAGTTCTCCCTTAAAGTTCATGTGCGTGTAAAGGCAGGCGTCCCAATACTTTTGGCAATATAGTTTATATTCAGTAAAAAAAAAAAAAACGCTAAGCCTTTTTTTTAATTTAACCACACAAATGGTAATGACTATTTCTTCTTTATTTTAAACCCACAATGACTCTGTTGCTGTTTGAAAAGCAAAACCTGCAATAGAAGGGGGTTTATACTCCCCTGCCCTGCCACTCATTCTCTGATCTTTGCTTACACACAGAACTATGGCTTCCAGCAGAATCTTTACTTCCAGGTGTATCGGATGTCAGGGCGCCAAGGGACATACCATTGCTGCAGCAGAGGAACAGACAGGCTGCAGGGAGCGCTGTCACAGCCAGCTATCTTGGAAGATCGACTGAGTATAACTTTGATATTTTTTACCCTAGGCGAAAATGAGCACTTAAGCCTTGCAGAGCGGGGGTAGCCCAACTGCAAGGGTTAATCACATTTTTATCCGGAGTTGTACTTTTAAAGGGGGGTGGGGGTAGCCAGTTGACAGCTATGTAGCGGGCTCTTCTATCGCAGGTTGTGTCTCTTACACAGCAAATTATTTACTTTAAATCGTACTGCAGGTACAATGAAGCGTCAGAGCAGAGCTGACTAGTACTTGTGTCCTAGCTCCTATAACGAGCTTCTAGTATAAACAATAATCGCTCAGTGCCCATACCTGCTGCCGGTGGTGGTGGTGGTGGTGGCGCCGACATGTTGTTCAGCCTCTGATTTGAAGAGGGGGCGGGCTTAGTGTTGCTCAGTAACGTAAGAACGCTGCTGTGAACGTTGCCCTCTTCCCAAAATGTTTATGAAGATTCTTTGGAATTAAAGCGTCGTTAAATCCTTATCAACATGTTTTTCTAAAAGCGCCTTTTGCTGTAGAATCATCTGCTTACTGGATGTGTGGGATTCATGCCCTGAACAAAAATGGCCGTCGCCATATTCATGATGAACTCATACCATAGAGTTTTACGGAAATTCTTTTTCGTAAAACTAGAACGATTCTGTATCACTGGCGCCTACTGCTGGTGAGCTGTTAAATCTGAACTCTGAACGCAACTATGCTTTATTATAGTTTTCAGTAGAGGATTGTATCTCTTTGCTTAACTTATATTTCACAAATAGATGTAAGCAGCTTAACCCCTTGCCGTCCACAGCAATTCCTTACATCTGCACACACATAATAAAATCTGCATTTTTGGCTAGAAAACAGCTTAAAACCCCCAACAATTATATATTTTCTGAAAGCAGAGGCCCTGTAGTATAGAAAAATAGTAGCTGCAATTTTTTATGTTGCATGATATTTGTGCAAATGTTCATCAAACCAGTATTTTTAGGATAAAATACACTAAAATTAAATTTAGTGCACAGAAACAGAATGTAATACCCAATTTTTTGGTAAAATATAAAAGATGGGGCCACGTTGGGTAAATAGATACCAAACATGTCAAGCCTTAAAAATTGCATGCTCCCTTGAAACTGCAAAAAACTACAACACCCAAAATTTCCCATAGTCGATGCTTTAAAAGCTTTTACTGCTCATCAGTTTAGTAACAATAATTAATGGCCCTAGAATTATTGCTCTCACTGAGACGATCGCGGTGATATGTAATGTGTGGCGCAATTTTCGTTTTTGCACGTAAACGCACCCGACGTGTGTTTGCGTTGTGTTTGCGTGCCTGTAGGGGGCAGAGCCAGCTGTCACTCACGCAGCTGGGCAGATCCCGACGTCTATACCGCGGCTGTAGCTCGCGGTATACTGAGCTTAGGGTAACGGGAGGACGCTAGTTTGTGTCCTCCCGTTACCCTGAGGAGAACTATGGGGAAAAACACTGACCCCATAGTTCTCCTTTAACAGCGCCGCACCGTACAAACGATCCGGTACCTGTACAGACACCGGATCGCTTGCACATAAACAGCAATTGCCTACTGTTTACAATGATACCAAGAACACGGCTGCAACAGCAGCCATGTTCTTGGTATAACCACTTCAAGCAGATGACGTGTATTTACGTGAACCCACCTGAAGTAGTTAATACCTGTTTTCTAAAGTTAATTTTAGCTATGAATAAAGTGTGTGTGTGTGGGGGGTGGGGGAGGATTAAAACACCTGTCAGGTTTTTATTGCTTTCTATGTGCCCACTGGCGATATTACTGCTCAGTTAATTTTTACGCATTGCTCCCTCGTTGCCAGATGAGCGAGGTGTCATCCTATTGTTGGCAAGTGACACTCTGTAGTGTTTCTGTCAGTGAGGGATAGATGCCTAAGGCTGCATTCAAACCTAGGCTGCATTTAAACCTAGGCGACAGCGTTATTGCTGCACGTTTTTGTGTATTTTTTGCGTGTTTTACGCTCCTACATTAAGTCGCACGTTTTTGCAAGCAGATTGTGACACATTGATGTAAATGGGCAAATGCCCATTTCTATTAACCCCTTCGTGACTGACGACGTACAGTGTACGTCGCCAGCATCGGGGCTGTTTAAACAGACTCCCGGCGACTTTTGCCGCCGGGACTCTGTTTAAACTTGTAGAGCCGACTGTCGGCTTTACAACAGAAGCGATCCTGGCGACTTACCTGTCGCCAGATCGCTTCTGCGTCCCGAAGAAGGGGCCGCCCCCCCCGCCGGACACCCCCGCCGTGCTTCCCGGGCTCCGTTGCCCCTCCTACGGGCCCGGGACCGGCGATCTTTGTGTCCGCGGGGAGCTGGGGAGGAGGTCGACGAACTTCCGTTCATCGATCCCCTCCCCGTTCTATGGGACCGGGAGCGATGCAGATTGCATCACTTCCGGTCCCTGGGCTGTCAGTTCTGGGCTCCTGCAGCCCAGCTATAAGCTATTGAAGTGCGATCTGCACTTCAATAGCTTATTTCCAGTGTAAAGGTGACACTGAGGGTCTTTTGGACCCCCAGCATCACCTTAAAGAGGACCTGTCACCACCATCTGCTATTACATGGGGGGGCTTGCAAGCCCCCCCATGTGATAGCAGTCAAAGTAAAGTAAAAAAAAAAAAAAAAAGTTTTTAAAATTAAAATGAAATAAAATAAATCTAATAATAATAAAAAAAAATTTAAAAGTACCCCGCCCCCGCGAGCACGCGCGTCGCCACGTAAACACGCGTCGGGTGCGCCTACGCATGAAAACGACGAACGCGCTACACATGTTGGGTATCGCCGCGCACGCCGGAGTGAGAGCAATAATTCTAGGGCCAGTATTTTGGGGTATCTCTAAATTGATGACCTGTGGGGGCTTTTAAAGCGTCTTTTATTGACTTTTTGGGGTACTGCAGTTTTTCGCCGTTTCACGGTCGCACGCAATCTGTAAACTGGGCATGTTGGGTATCGTTTTACTCGTTGTAACCTCATCTTTTATATTTCATAAAAAAATGGGTAATTTGTTGTGTTTTGGGGCATTTAATTAAATTTGTCAATAAATTTTGGGGTTTAATAAGGAGTTGCGCTAATATTGCGCAACATAAAAATTTTCAACTACCACCATTTTATTCTATAGGGTCTTGGCATTCAGAAAATATATAATGTTGGGGGGTTTTACGTCATTTTCAGGCCTAAAATGTGGAATATAACATGGGTGCAAAAATGGAAAAAAGGGCCTCAGTCATGAAGGGGTTAAAGTATATAGGGCCAAGAAGCACTTAATCTGCAAAAAAGGAGCATTTTTTTGCAGCAATGGGCGTTTTGCTACAAGCGACATAACGCTTAGATGTAAATATGGCCGTAAAATGAATGGGATTTTGTTTTGAAAATGTTTTGGCCAGAAAAGGCGTTACAAAATGCTAGGTGTGAAAGGAGCCTTAGGCCTCAGCCTTAGGGTTGCTTTACACGTGCGTGTGGGGCTGTTGTGCGATGTGTAGTGGCAGTGAGAAGTGTGTTGTTAAAAGCATCTCAATGTTTACTGTTTTTACCTTTATTTGAAGTGTCACAAAATTACACTCCATTCAAATCCTCGCACAGCAGTGGGTTGCGACGCATTGACATGTGTTGCAATGCATTGTAACAGCACAACAGGCTAGGTATGAACCAGCCCTTCATCCCACCAAAGAGGGAGCAATGCATGGAGACAGGTGAGTATTTTCTCTGCACTTTTTAGCCATCCTGTTGCTAACGAGTATGCGCCAGCGACAGGATCACAAGTTTTGCATGCTTCTTAAGGTGGCCATACACTTTACAACCATCGCAAGACCTTAGTCTTGCGATGGTTGTAAAGTAATTAAAAAAACGTACGATCTTCCCATCTTGGACAGGCAGATCGTACTCTCGATCATCGCATGCCTGCCCCCCTGAGGGGCAGGCTTCCGATGACCGCAATGCTGAACGGGCAGTGTGCGCGTGCGCACACCGGCCCGTTCGGCATTTGTCTTCCGAGCACCGTTCAAACCAGCCGAAAATCGTACGATTTTCGGCTGGTTTTCTAGCGTGCTCCTTAGACAAAAGACGTGCAACCGTACAGTAGAAACGGTCGCACGTCTTCGTTCACACTGTTCGATTCTCATACGATCGCAGGATTTCCCGCGATTCTCGTACGAGAATCGAGCAGTGTATGGGCACCTTTAGGTAGATTTCTGTTCACTTTCTGTGAAAGTTTGGGAAACACTTTGCAATGGGTACACAGACAAGAAAAGGAATGTGATACAGGGTCTAACCCTTCTTCCTCTATCCAAAGCTTTACTTGCTGATTCTATTTAATTACTTTCTTATTTACCCTTTTTTATCTTTTGTTGAATCTCAGTGCTGCTGATCTCTTGCAGCCTCTATGCAGCCACTTCCTGTCTACCTGTATGTTGTTCTCCAGTAACGCTTACATGGAGTTTCTCAGGACGGGTTTCCTTATGGCAACCGCACCGTATCATGGCTATGTAATGTATGTTGAAACGGCCTGCTGTAATGTCAATTGGAAGCGCCTGTGACAGAAGCACAGTTGGGGGACAGAGCATTGCCACCCAGTGGCGTAACAACCGGAGGGGCAGCCGGTGCGTTGGCCCCGGGCGTAAAGCTGAAGGGGAGGCGCCAGCCTACCGGGCAAAAATGGCCCTTTTGGCTAAATGCCAAAAGTGCCATTTTCCTGCCGTTTTGTCTGCGCAGCCGTGATTTCTTTCCTCCCCGCTGGGTGCTGCTCTGTGTCCCAGCGAGGAGGAGAGAAAGTGACAGCCGGCTGAGCGCTGTGGGCGGAGAGTGCTGTGAGTGGCCGGCGTCTCTCCTCCCACACCGCTCAGCCTCCGGCAGAGCAGTGTGGGGGTGGAGACAGCCCACGCTGTCAAGGGAGGCTGAGCTCTCCTCCCTACACTGCTCGCTCAGCCTCCTGTGACAGCGTGTCTCTAAAAGTAAAGTAAAAAATAAAAATATTTAATTAAAAAAATTAATTAATAAACATTTATTAAAACAATTTAAAGGTTTATAAAAAATAAATAAAAATAAAATATTTGCAAAAATTTGAAAAAATTAAAATAAAAAAAAATTCTGCCCCGGGTGCCCATAACGCTGGTTACGCCACTGTTGCCACCCTATGACAGAAAGTCACCGATAGCAGAAGGATCAAATGCAATTTTAATGAAAGCTGCAGATTTAAAATGATTGACAATTACTTTTAAAATTACATTAATACCTTAATATTTATACCTTTTATATTTCTCTCGTTCAATCAATTCCCTCATCAACACTTAACAGCTTGGATGGAGGACTCTTCAACGCTGGCTATTGTACTCTGACA